CTCTTAGTTTGGCATTTTAAGCATAGATTTGGGATTTCTTCTCTCCTTATAATATAGCCCAGTCTACCACTTATGCTTACTGCAAAGACAACTTTTATTATCAATATCGAGATTATTTTAATTACTTGATTAGATATTCTATTAAATCGTTTAATTCATGCCTATTTTATGACTAAGTAGGTGATTAAATTTAATTTTGCTATTACTTTTCTCCAAAAAGAATAAGTGCATGATGACCATCGGGTTATCTTTTAGTGAAAAGTCACGATTATTGCTACGCTATATTTGGTGAGTTTCTTTCTAAATCACTTCACTACTTTTGACGTGTTCTGTTTTGCTTAGCTAATTAAGTCTGTCACTTAATTACCATCAGAATTTCTCAGAAATTTGCTTACTTGTTTACGTGGCTTCACTATCAATATTTATATTATCACGCATTTAATTTAACTTGAATAGGAATTGATTCGGCGCACACAAGGTAGAATTGATCTAATGTTAGAGGATCATCACCACGAAGCTTGGCATGCGCCGCCGCTACCGAAACTGAAGCCATTTTCAGGCACCGGCCAGCTGCTTGGTTGTCCCGTCCCTCGACTTGTTATTGGCAGCTCCGACAACGCAGCAGAGCCGTCATCGATTTCTGATCCAGTCATAAGACCAAAGACCCAGGAAGAGAATGGGGATTCTGCTCTCCCTACTAGCCCCGTTGAGGTGGATTCGAGTCAGCCAGTCACACAATTACAGATCCGCCTCACTGATGGCACTAAGTAATACATGAAGAATGTTGCTACAAAATAATTTTAACTTTATTAGCTTAAACCTGAGCCTCTAACTTCACTTTTTAAAAAGCTACTTGTTAGCCTTGTTTATGCTTTATAGAATAACCTTGCCAATATCATTCAAGCTTGGAGAAAATATTACGAATCGATGCAACTGCCTTATTCAAAGTTTATTACAAAAAATTAAATAATTCCTTTATAGGCTATAATTATTTGCGAGCTGTAGTCACACAAGGCTTATAAGCTGATCAAGAGCTGTTTGCTCCCACTGAGGATCTGATAGTCTCAAAAGCTTCTAACTGAACATAATTATTTACTTTACGCTTATTTTTAGCTATTCAAACAATCTTTTCTGTTTAAGACTAATTATAGCACTTTAATATATTATTGTTATACATAAGGTGTTTTTCATTGAACTAAGCTAACTACTGCTAAAATATTGAAAATCAAATCGGATCAATCTTTTCCTTTCTCACTGACAAGTCCATTAATATCCCAAACGAGGCATTTTGTTCCTAATTTTTTAACTCACACAGCTTATGTCTCTTCATTTTATCCTTGAAACTTCGTTTCAGTACCTGTTTCGCAGCCTTTTAGAAAAAAATAAATACCTTAAGCGACTTGCTAACTGGAGGGACAAGTAAACGGTAGCTAAGTTTTTTTCTTATGCATTCAACCTTTTCAATAAAATGTTAGGGAAGGTTTTAAAGGATCTACAATATCAGTTTGGCCTTAATGCTAGAACATTCCCATTATTTATTGTTCTTTTTAACGAATATCGTTTTACAAACACCCTGGTTCAACTTATTAAACTTATTTATAACAAAATAGCATAGGCTGCTGATTATAAAGTGTCTCTTTTCCTATCGTCGTTCAGACGGTTTATATGTCTAGATCCTTCTTAAATCTAGACTTAATGTATGAACTTAAATAGCTTATAGTAGTTGTTTGACCTTATTTTCGCAACTTGATCATATTGGCAGGACGACCTAGAGGAACGCACCTAGTCCGGAGTCCATAGTATGCATGATAATTTTCAGTCGGACCGTGTACTTAGTACATTCCTAGACGTTTCGCCGGCATCGCAAATGAGCCTTGTCATTCTTAGTACTCGTCAAGGGGACATGCGAAGTTGATACATTAACAAATTGTCTGCTAAACAGTCAGGGTATCTCTCCCTCTGTACTGGGCTATTCATCTATCCTATATAATCGTATCACTCCCGTTTTAACACAATTTCTTAATTGTTTATTAAAATGCGGTATGGTGTGTCCTTTTGAGCGGATTTAACGAAACCCCTTCACATCTCACACCCCTACCGTTGGGCTGAGAACGTTTATCCGAGTCTGCCATATTATTCCGCAGTCCTCTTATCATAGGTCTTATCAGAGTCTCGCTCTCTCCCCGTAGTATCCGTCTCCTATCTCCCTCGTTCAAGTATTCTACCTGACCCCTGCTACGCCATCTGTGCTAATGGAGGTGTTATTTTCCACACTGCCTCAAGCCTTTTGATGACACGTATACTCCCGCCTCGCTGAGTAGGCCGACAAAGTCTGCATTTTTAGGTTAGATAGGAGACTAACTTGAGGCTATAGATCCAGAGTAATTTTGATCGTCAAACATTTGCCTCATGGACCATGTCCTTGATTAAATGCGTCTACTGTTAGCCAACTAGCTATAGTCTCCACCCCATCTATCGTGCTTCTATCCATAATGCCAAGTCTGACTTCCTATGTCATAGTCTGTTGTGTGCCAACCTACAAGTGATGTGGTTTTACTTGTTTTGATTAGGCTCACTGAAGACGTCTCGTCTTGGTTTCCGATTGTTCCTTTCTGGTATCTGCGATTTCCTTTCTTAAAATTAAACATGTTACTTTGATTCAGTCGTCTTCTTTTTGCCGATCTTATGATTGCCTGATCTTCGAGTTTGCTTAGGTAATATGCAATGTTTTCGCTGATCCTGCCTTCTTCAATCTGTTAATTAGATTTATTTCGGTCAGTATATCGATAGCCTCTAAGATCTTGCGGTTTCTCGTATTTTCGCCATGTGCAGCCAGCCTTTCTGTCGATTTACAGTCGATTTCGTGTCCCTTCCGTGCAATGCGTTCCTCTATTTCGGATCTTTCCGTATCAATGCTTTTACAGTCTGATATACCTTGATTCGTAGCCCGATATTTCTTCCTGTTTTACCAATATACTACTGCTCACAGCTGCCGCATTTGATGCGATAAACTCCCGAACAATCCAGTCGACTTAGTCGACTTGTCCACATTCAAGATAATTTTTTATTGCTTTTTAGTTCGACTGAGCGATGATACTTCATTTTCTACCTCTATCTCTCCCTTCACACTAATGAAACTAAATTTTTCTGGCAACGAAATTATTCACAAATTCATATATATATATATATTTAAAAAAAATCCTGTTACTGCCAGTGCACTATTCTAGGCTTGACAGATTCTAATCATTAAAATCTGTACATCTTAAACTAGAGAGATTCGATTGAACAATGGCGATCTCGCTTTGTGAGTCAATGTACTTGACAATATTTCTGACCACATAATTTCTAAAGTCTTTTATGTCGGGACTAATGATTTTTTGTCTGAGGCCTATGTCAGACGATTTTACTATGACTTCCCAATGTATTTATCCTCAAATAATGTTTATTTTACATAGGCATTATAATAAACTGTAAATTTTAAAGCACCTTATGCATCCTAGAATATTTTTTTTGTTTTCAAACTTTTCAGCTCTTGTTTTTGGTCAAATATTGTCTGAGATTAAGTTTCACTGATTATAATAGATCTCATTATACCGAATTAGCCGTTGAAAAGTAATACTGCATCAATGGAGAACACTTCAGAGATTTTTTGCAGATATTTTTAGGTATGATCTGGTATTTTCTTCAGCTTATCAAATTTTGTCCCTTTTCTAGGTTACTTTTCTATTTTTATGTCATCATATTGGATTCCAGTTAAGTAATCTTTCTGTAAGATCTATTCGCAGATGGATAAATTAGAACGCTTCCTAAGGCGTTTCGTACTTTTTTAAAATTTAAAAACTAGAATGCGTGTTAGATGCTATGCGCTTGATATCAAAGACTTCCTTTGATTTTTTCTTATTCCTGATTGACTAGTGAAAATTGGTTTTAGTACTAACGGCAGAGATCACTGGACGCTTAGCCGAATAAGGATTTGATCATTAAGTTACCATTGGAATATAAGGGGAGTTCTCGATGATTGTGCCATTGTGAACGCTCCAGGAAAATGAAAAATACTGAGTGCAATACCAATCTACAAACATGTGGTCACACACTTTCACTTACATTAAGAGTTAGCTCAACATTTCAGTTCTCATTTCATTGTGGTAGGATTCAGCTTTTGGCCGTGAAACTAACTAGGAGGTAATGAGGTGACTCAAGACCTGACTCAAGCTTTACTTATTGTCTCTAGCTACGCTCAAGTCAAGTAGCAATTTTAAGAGCCAGAAGTCTAGCCTTTGCAAAACCTACACTGCACAAAGCTTAGAATATTGGCCAGCTGCAGTCCTACATATTCGTTAAAGTTTTAATGAGGCATCCTATGATATTGTTAGCTTTTTCATGTTTCTCCCCACTTATCCTTAGGTGTTTAAAGTAGAAGCGGATGAGGCTAATTCATCGATCTCATAATATCTCTAGTGTAATCCTGCAATTCAAATTTAAAATGCTCACAATGATAGTACTGCAAATCATTTTGAGAAGGCGGATATTTTGGCCTCACCCGCCTCAACTTCATAAGCTGAAAAATTTAGGGTGTAACATGAAGTATGTAATAAAACTTGGTGCCTCATCAAGATCGCAGAACTAGGCTATAAGAAGGTCAGATTGCAACTCATCATTTCTATTGGCTCGGCGTCTTTTGAGTGCTTTAATGATCTCTGACTCTGACTATGTCTGTCAGATGGCAGGCTAAAGCTCAACACTGATTTATCAGAGTTCTCGGGCAATGCACTGGAAAACTAACACAAACCAACACTCACAACTCTAAGGCCAGCTTACAAATATCTTCTAATCACTTTCTTATATATTAAATCTCGATTATTTGTATACCAGAGAAGTCCACTTTCATAAAGGAGTTTTATTAATTTATTAATTAAGTACCCGGATATATGTAAAATGCGAAACTAAGATAAAGACGTTCTCAAAAATTAGTAGAACAAACTTTGCTAAAATCTATTCGGTTTTTTTATTGAAATATACTGAAAAATGCGATTCCTCTAGTGGATTTCTAATTTGCCTTTCGTATTAGAGTAGAGTTTCGAGACTACCAGTAAATCAGTAATATAAGATGTATTCAACCTATTTTGTCTAACGTGATGAAGTACTGTTATTAGAATTTTCCCACAATGATATGAGTTGAGCTGACGTTTCCATTGAATTTCACATAGCCTTGCTTTC